AATCAACTGTGTGCAGGGATAATAGGGATATCTTCTATTCGCCGGCTGGCAAATTGCCGCAGCAAACGAATTTCCGCCATAGGCAACCCAATCGCGGTGGATGGGCTTTCGTTTTCGGCGGTCGAGCAAGGTATAGGCATCTAACATGAGAATAGTAAAGGAAAAGGCAGCTGTGTAAGTCATAAGGGAGATGAAGGGCTCAAATCTAAAATGGCAGTAAAGTAGTTGTCGACATACGCGACGACATGTCAACGGAGTTCCATCGTTGAGGACGCCGCCTGCCGGCAGATGACACGGGCATTCTCATTTGAATCATTTCTCTGTCTCTGTCTGCCACTACTGCACACGAATGGCAGTTTGCGATATTTACCTCTGAGACGACGACAGGACAGTCCGCGTCTCCACCAGCGTGCACATTATACTGCTGCTTCTGCTGGCCCCCTCCATCACTTCCGGTTCTACGCCGTGATTTTCATTTATGCTGGCGTCCTCATCGTCATCCTTCTCCGCCTCATCCTTCCCGCAATCATCCTTCTCCTGCTCATCCTCCTCCAAAACTTCCTCGATTCCCTCGAGCTCTGGAACAAACTTAAAAATAATATAATAACCTGCACCTGAGCTATGCCTTAGCATATACAGTAACAACAACACCCAAAGGACCACCAACACAATTTCCAAAACCACCATCAGCAACACTACCACCAACACCACGACCCCAAACAACACCACAAACACCAGCACCACCACCACCACAATCACCACCACCACCAACACCATCACCACAACCACCATCACCAAACCCACCACCAACACCACCACCACCATCACCACCACCGCCACGACAAAAACCACCACAACCACCACCACGACAAAAACCACCACTAACTTTGGGTCAGAAGTTTCCTAAACAACTCAACTTCGCCTCGTGCATGCATGTGCACACGTTCGACCGCCACGCTGCCATCTTGGCACTTGAAAGCCGACTTGCACATTATCGATAACCCTCAGCTATTCGAATTCACCTCAGTCAGTAATTATGACGCTGCAAACGGTGCGCGGTCTATGCCTGGAAATTCTGGTCATAGGTGCATTTATTCACATCATTTGCTGCTGCTGCTGTTGGCCCCCCTCCTTCACTTCCGGTTTTACGCCGTTATTGTCATTGGTGCAGGCGTCCTCCTCCTTCTCTAAATCCTTCTCATCCTCCTCCTTCTCCTCCTGCTTATCCTTCTCCGAAACCTCCTCGATTCTCTCGAGCTCTGGAACAAACATGAGCTCTCTTAACTGCGGCTAAGGGTACTGCATGGTGTTATCTATTGCAAAGTAAAGAAGGCGTGTTTAAGTAGTAGGTAACGGCTGTGCAACGGTTGGAATGGGCAGTGCAAGTACAGTGAGTGACATCTCTCATGAAATGTTGGCTGAAATTCTGAAATGCGTTTTCGACTAGGGAGGATTGCTTGGTCGCGGTTGTAATAATGATTATCTTAAGGCATACCCTTATAACCTTTTGCACTTGGCAGAATGTCTTCTTTAAAATGCACTTCTTTATAATTTCCTGTAGATAGCGTGCTCGGTAAAAATGACTACTTAATTAGCATGCATTTTTTATTAATTTTCGATGGTCTTGGAAATTCGAATATAATTTATATAAACCACAAACACATTATGCTTTCTTTTAGTCAATCAATAGGAAATAACGTATTTTATACTTAACGAAGGAGTATAATAAGGTTTTAAAAAGTTTGTAATTATGAGACTTTTTAAGACCGCGATATGTCCATTCACATAGCATCGTAAGTGGCCGCTTACCACTGCTCCTCATAAAATGTACAACATGGTCCGCATCCACTGCAAAATTTTATGGACACTGTGTAATATCTCTTTAATGACATAGAGAAAAATGGGTTTTTTTCGCGGAACGCATGCACCTTGTAGAGTGTAAGCACTAAGCACTAATGCAACGAATGATCAGACTCCAAATTTTTTGGCAATTTGAAAACTTTTTTAAAACCTTATCATGTTCTTTTCTTAAGTGTAAAATATAAAGAAGGCGTGATGCTCTATTGATTGTCTAAAAGAAAGCATATTTTTGTTTGTGGTTTCTATAACATATATTTGAATTTCCAAGACCATTAAAAATCAAAGGGAAAAATGCGTGCTAATTAAGTAGTCATTTTTACCGAGCACGCTTTCTACAGGAGCTAAAAAGAAGTGCATTTAAAAGCCGACATCCTGCAAGTCCAAAATCATATAAGAGTATGCCTTAAGATAATCAGTTTTACAACCGCGAAAAGTAATCCTTTCTAATCGAAAACGCATTTCAGAATTTTAGACAAAATTTCATCAGATAGGTCACGCACTGTAGGAAATGACTTATTGTGAGTTGACTGATACGTCTTATCCTGTCCTACCAAGCCACTCACTATTCCTCCCCGAAATTCAGCTGCTTCCTCCTCCTCCTCCTCGCAATTCTCCTCCTACTCCTTCTGCTGCTGCTCCGCTCCGCCAAATCCCGCATTCCGGAATGCTACCGACTTAACACCAACCGCCGATGGTAGATCATTATATCGCCGACCTATGCAATCATTCCTTAGGCGCACATTGCTGAAGGGATTATCAAGGAGAGAAGACATCTTCCCTTCACAGACCTTCCTTCAGCAAAGAAACACTTCTTGCAGATTGAACAACGAAAACATAACGAGGAACAACGATGGGGTAGAAAGGACGATGCCTACAAGTAAAGAGATGAGATGTGTCCGTTAGTCTATAATCATGTCTGCGTATACTCGGATAATTATATTAAGCCTGGAGCAATCGCAAAGGTAAAACATTGCATTGCAGTGAGCAGTAATTTAAATGATATCACGAGGTGCATGAAGGGATTTAATGTCAGCACTTACCAATCAACAGGAAAAAGATAACAATGGGGACGCAATTAATCCAGGGAGTTGAAATCATCTCACAAATGATTTGAATAAATGCACGCATGAGCAAAATTTCCAGGCTTAGACCTCGCACCGTTTGCAGCGTCATAATTACTGACTGAGGTGAATTCGAATGGCTGAGGGTTATCGATCTTCTGCAAGTCGCGGTTCAAGTGCCAAGATGGCAGCGTGGCGGTCGAACGTGTGCACGTGCATGCGCGAGGCTAAGTTGGGTTGTTGAGGAAGCTTCTGTCCCTAAGCAGACCTTTGCTTTCTCAACACTCATGACTTGGTTGACACTGTGTGCAGCGTTTGCTTGCATTGATACGAAAGGCAGATAAGCGACGGCTTGGCGATGCCTCATGCTGTAGGCGTGTTTAATGGGAAAGACTGTTGTAGACCTGGAACGATATTTTTAGGTAATATAGGAGACACTTGCAATTATTTTACACACAGCAAGTGTTTCCAGCCTCCACAAAAAATTACCCTGTATAGTTTGGCTTATCAGTTTCCCGATTGGCCTTTGAAAACCACGCTGCTGAATAGGGCGTCTTACGGCTGCGCGGTAATAGAAATGTAAACTACTATAAAGGATACCGGGCGAGGAACCTGAGTTATTTTAAAAACATCGTTTCGGAACACTATATAGTTAACGGCATAATCCGTGTCAGCCATTTTATCTACAAAGGTTGTAGTCGAATCATTCAGCATAAAGGCCTTCCCCTTAGGGATACACACTGTCTCAATACGTTTTATGATCTACTTTGATTGTGTCGAGCCGCGGAGGATTAGACGAGATTTTTTTGCCTATAACACGTTAATCAGTCCTCCTGATTTTTGGATGAATCCTCTAAGGCTTCACCGGCAACTGTAACAATCGAATCACTAACCATACGATTAATTCGTAGTAATATATATTGACTGTCACTTTGGCAGTATTAAAGCGCTGGAAGTTTGATTATTGCCCTGCTGTAACGTCGGCAAATTATTTATTTCTATGAGTTCTTAACTTGTTCGAATGCAGCTTCCCGAAAGTTCCGCTGAACAGAGTATATTATGTCTCGTGGGTTGTCGATGATCGAAAAGTCTGGTGATGTATTCAAGTCCGCGGTGCTTTTTAAACGGCTACTTAAAGCTGCCTATGACCAAAATTGTCCACGCAGTGCACGTTAATGTGCGGTTAATGTGATCTGTGAAGGTGGATGCGGATGGGAGAGCTAGTTACTGTGCGAAGTGCGTTAATGTCATCGACATCGCGCCGAAAACCACGGTCGTGGATACGCATGTGGCTAAACACGCGAGTCAATGTGCAAAGGCATCGTGGGCAGTGAAAGAGAAGACGTTTGCTGTATTTCGGTGCTCTAGGCACTGATTCGCTAGTATCTGTCTCGCGTGAAGCCCCTCAGGTTGATGCAGAAGGGGAATGTTTGATCGCAATGAGGATATGCTAGGCTGGATTTCACATCCCCTGTGGTTGACGGGGCCCCACAGTGCTCAGACCAGTGACCGTATTGAAGGAGGCAATAGCCGTCGTCACCGCAGTGGTTGTGAAGTGGTCGATAGGGATTGCGATGGTCAATGGCGGGAGGACATCTGGGTCGCGATCAACGACAATGAGGTTGATTATCGCTTTCAAATAGCATACACTGTGGGCAGAATAGTCGTTGATAGCTCGACCATGTGGGAAGTGCCAAATGTGCCCTGGTTGCCTAAGACTTTGTTCACTTTTACTAATCTATTATCAAGCACAAATACTTTCCTTTAAATTTCGACGCTGCGAATCCACCTAGGCAAAGCAATTAGCCATACCGGTAGAACGCAGTTGAAGGCTTTTCCCAACGTCAGGTTGTGTGATTCAGATGTTCGTCTAACAAAAACAAATTGCATTCGAATCAGCGATGAAATCGGTGTTAGCAACAATCAGAAATCCGTCCAGCGGGTATTTGTCACAGGGAGTGCAATGATTTCCAATGAGCAGCGTGAGTCGTGAATTTCAACAGGTGTTATTAAAAGACAAATCCATCCGTGACTATTCATAAGTATCTGGTGGCATGGCCAGAGCTTCCTAGAAATACTGCAGCCCGTCTTGCATAAACCAAACCTATCCGAATTTTGTCTATGAGGATGTGTTGTAGCACGAATCAGAAACGCCAGGCTAAAACATCTCTCGTACAAGCGGTAGTGGCTGCATATTTAAGTATGCAAACTACGGCGCGTATCCTCAAGAATATTGCAACGGACTAGGGCTAGGTTATGGTAGGGGGGTTATGATTATGTCTAGGGTGTGAGGCTGAGGGATAGGGTTAGTGTAAGGGTAGGGGTGAACATTTGGGGGCTATGTTAGTGGTTAATGTTAGCAGGTTAGAATTAGGGTCAGGCTGTAATGACAGTAAAAATTATTTAATAATTCTGAAAACTTAACTAATTATCTACTACCTGGCACATGTGCTATGTCAAATCTTATTCATGAACGCCATGAACTACATAACCACCAATATCCATAAACGCCCAAAAACACACCACCAGCACTTCCACCCATTCAATTATGACGTTGACATGTTGCAGTCTATGGGCAGTGGTTGGGCTGCCCAATATTAACACAAGCATTTTAAGCATCTAATATCAGAGTGTAACCGCCATCGTACTGATGAGGCACAACTTGACAGTTCAGCCAACGATTACGACGATGACCACGGTGCGCGTCACCACAGGCTTTCGATTGCGGCCGTGGCATACTCAAGCCCCAACTTCCTCCCTTTTATGATCTGCCTCCCTACACTCACCCTTTCTCTCCTTCGTCGGCTTCAAAATCCATCGCCGTATCCTTTTCCTCCGTGGGCTAATCATAAATCGTTTTGAGCCAGTGTGTATCCCTAAGGGGAAGGCCTTTATGCCGAATGATCCGACCAAAACCTTTGTAGATCAAATGGCTGACGGAATATGCCGTTAACTATATCCTCTTCCGAAACTATGTTTATAACAAAAATCATGTGTCTCTCCCTCTATCCCTCCTACTCTCTTTTAATCTTCAAACACGCAACCTGATAGTTAAAAATCCACGCGTCTAAACACTGCGCCACGTGTTAGATCTTGCAAATGAAGTGTTTGTCAGAAAATCATCACTGGAATTAAGCGGCTGTAGTATGTTTACAGTATCAGATGCATTTGCGTGTGAAGCAGTGGTAGGAAAGGTAATATGAGATAAAAGTGTATGCCAGATAAAGAAAATTGCAAGGACAATTATGCTGACGAGTAAAAGGCTAAAGATGACTGTGCAGACGTGCTTTGAGACCTCTGCAGCGATCGCGTCATTAACGGACGCTTGTCTGCTGGAGAGCTGCCGCATTTTCCTGATGATTTTGTTGAAATGTATTAATAGTCAAGGGCAAAGTTGGTCTCTACTTGCGGCAGACGGACGCCGCCCGCGTCGAATATGTTGGTCGAACGGTTGAGGATGTCTCGGAATAGCTCGATGCTTCCCTGAAGCATTTGTGTCTTCTCGGTGCGGAGGGTACTGATGTCGAGGCTGAGGAGAGGTGCAGTACATCAGGCTGGTGGACCATAAATAGCGGTGATCGTGGACATGTAGATCTTCCCTTCGTTGCCGTTCGCGCATCCTTGGACCTCTTAAGCCTTGTGAGCCGTTCACTCATCCTGCATTTCGCACAGCCGCTGTTATAGAAGGCACAGACTGCGGTTGAAAGCAGCTCTATTGTCATCGGTGGGGCGGTCGACGTAGGCTTTTATGTTGGTAGTTATTCGCGGCAAGCAGGTTGCTGATGGCGGCGTTGTTGCAATCCGACCGGGGACAGCCAGCGCCATCGACTGGACCGTGTCCCGCATTCGTTACCATCGGTTCCCTACGCAGGAGTTCTTGTCAGCGGCGGCTGCGTGGGCAGTGTAGCGGCTCAGCGTGAATGGTGTACGCTCAGTACGCCTCAACTTTTAGGCCATATTCCAAGTTGTTGGAAGCAGGAGGCCATTTGGTTAGGACACTTTATCCTGTACAGAATAGTGAAGGGGAATGTTGGCAAACGGACGAGGACGTGTCTGGCTCTGCGGAGGTGGCGTCCGCGAGAGCGACGAGCTCTGGGTCGCTGAAGGTCGCGGCTGCAAAGTGTCGTTGTAGATTGCTTACTCCATTGTTCCTGTCTGTTCCCGCCTGTCTTAACAATCAGCGATAAAAGTTGCTTTGATTGGCTCCGAGCTCACGCGAATATAGTGACAAGACTCGCGTGATGCAGGCAGAGAATCGACTGATTGTGTGGCGCAAGACATAAACAACAACTATCTCTCTCTCACTCTCTTCGTCT